CATCATCCCCCGCAGGAATAACTGTTGCCATGAGTGGGTGGTGAACCTGGTCTGCAACTATGTTCAAGTAGCTTACAGACGCCAGGGATTGTTCTATGAGATTATGGGTCCTAATGTGCCCCATGAAAACATTGTTCCTAGGCGAGAAACCATGAAAACCTGGGCGAGCCCATTGTTATAGATGGAGGGTGGTCATAATGTAATGGCTCTTCGGTGTATATTAAATTGCTTAGTGGTAGGAAAAATAATTTCAAATTAATAAAATTTAGTAAATCAGGAATCATACACTAAAACCAAACTCTGTTAACACCAGAACAAACTTTCCCACTAAGCTGAGAAATATCTGTAATAATGTTTAGCACTTTTTTTAATAAAAGGAACCGATTTTTTAACACTAATGTATTAAAATGTCTGCACGACCTAATTAATTAAAGTATTAAATTTGCATCTCGGCACGTTAAAACCCGAACATCAGATCAAGAATTATAAAAATAAACGTTATTAAACACTAGGTTATTAAAGCAAGTTATACAATTATTAAAGTTAATTCATTATATAAGATTATTGGAAGAGGCGTTCAAAAATTATGTCATACGTAAAAAAAAAACAATAGCCTTAATATAATAAATTTAAATTAAATTAATCTAAACACAATTTTTTGTAATAATATGAATTTTTTTGTTAAAATTAACACAACAAAACTTATATTCACAGAATAAATCGTGTCTCGAATAGCTTATGGCAGACACTGTTGTAAAAAAACCAAGGTCTCTTTCTTTTAATTTGAAACTCGTTTTTGTGCGTAACGAAATTTCGAATCGTTCCTTTAAATACGAATATTCACGGATAGTTATATAATTGACAAGTCTAACAATATATATTTTTGGGATACTCAAGGTTTTAAATACCTAAGATTAAGCCATTTGTGGTCGCAGGGTGTTACGCTTACTAGGCTGGGTTCCAAAAATGCAAGATAAGCTCTAAAAATTATTTTTCGATAAGTATAACATAAATTAAATTCAGGCATTTATATCCTTTAGAGGTTTATAAATGATAACACGTATCAAGCATTTCATTAATAATGCAGCATTTCAGTATATTTTTATGCGATAATGTGGCATATTTATATAAATCAGAAACCATAGTCGTTTTTTATGCACTAATTAAAGAAAGGAAGTGTACAAATTTGTATAATCATTAATAAGTTAATTGAGCTTTACTTAGATAACATTTTTGGGACAGTAATGGAAAAATTATTTTCAGATCTTACTTAATTTTTGATTCTTATTTAGATATTCTTCTCCACATTTTTTATTACATCTCTAAATATTAGGAATTTTCGAAATAATTCAAATAAAGCTAAGTATTTAAGATAAAAGTAAATTTCCAAAAGATTTCGTGACATTCATTAATGAAGCACAGAATGTTATTGCAAAATTGTGACATAAGCCTTACTAGGTTAAATTTTAATTTAGAGAATAATTAAGGTTCTTTGGTATTTCTTTTAGAAAACAATTTTTTCAAACTACACTCTATAGAAATATTCTTAACACCCATTTAATTATTCAAAATAGCATATGTTTTTAGTTTTGATTTAAAATTTAAATGTTCGAATTATAGAACACTGAGTCTAATGTCAATGCTGATGGCAGAATAGCCGGAATCGGCTATACAGCACTAACAGGCAATATTACGTCACTATTAGAAATTCCTCAAACCTAAGCCACGAACAAGATGTTAAGAAACAAAGTATTCTTACAGTTTTATTTACTTAAATATTTACTAAACGTTAATAAATTAGTTTCGAAAAACGAAAATTAAACAAAATATCACTTTTTAAAGTTGTGAAAAATTCTTTGGAGTTGAACATAGAAATGAAACGGAATTCACAGTATTAATCAAATGTTTTACTGTGCTGTCATTGATAATTAAAAAAAAATGTAAATACTTAGAAATAAGGTCGAAAAAATAGTATCTCAGAGTAGTGTATTTCAAACTGTTCCTAAAAATGGTGCGTGGGCACTAATAAGTTAATCTTACATCAATTGAAACACAATATAAAAATGAGTACGAAATAATAAATATATATAAAGAAGTTTATAATAAAAAAAGATAATTAAAAAGTTATTATCTTTTTTAATCATCTTTTTATCTTCTTTTATTTGCTATGTTGCGCAAAATTCAAACAACATTTCATTACATTGTAGCTTAAATGAAATGGAGCTATAAACTAAGTCGTATATTTTTACAAAAATAAGATATAAAAATGGTGCGTGGGCACTAATAAGTAAATCTGCGTTATTTGAAACACAATATAAAAAATGAGTATGAAATAATAAATATACATAAAGTAGTTCATAATATCAAACCTTTCAAGAAAGCTATAAAAAAATATATTCAATTAAAAAAATATATTAGAATTTAAGGGAGGGCATAAAATGCTATGCGTTTCGATCCCGAACGTAATTTTTTTTTTTTTTTTTTTTTTTTTTTTTTTTTTAAGAATTTCTGTCGATTTTAATACTTTTTAATAATTATAAAGCGAAAAACAACATTTTTATTTTCAAAAATATTTTTAATTTTTATTTTTTTGGGATTATTTTATTTTTTAAACAACTTTGTTGACCACTAGTTGGGAATTACTGCTAGTCCTTTTATTTTGGTTTAGTTTAGCTTCCGTTAGTTTAGTCTTCAGACTAATAATATTAGTCCTTTAGTCTGGAGGGGGAAAAATGAAACAAGGCGGAAAGTTATTTCTTTTAAATTTTTTTTAAAAAATTATCTTTTAAAATTATCTTTTAAAATTATCTTTTAAAATTATCTTTTAAAATTATCTTTTTTAATTATCTGTTTTCTTTTCTTTTTTTTATTTGCTATGTTGCGCAAAATTCAAACAACATTTCGTTACACTGTAGCTTAAATGAAATGGCGCTATAAACTAAGTCTGATATTTTTACAAAAATAAGAGATAACTAGGCGTTAGAGTTGTGAAATCCACGTCTACCTAAAGAAAAGAAATCCCTAGATAAGGTGCCAAGCGAGGAAAACCACGAACTTATACAAAATGAAAAACTTATAGCGTCTGATTTGGTTCCAAAATCAAGATGAACGGAATGGCAACATTTACAAAAATAAAGCTACTGATAGGTATCACTAATATGGTTAGGATTTAGAAAGATGACATTCAGTGATCCGTTAAGTTAAAAAACATGTTAAGAGTCAAACCATGTGAACATGTGGTACGCCATGGCGTTCGTACAATTTTACTATTTTTTTAAAAATATAAATCAGTTTTCTTTTTGTATAATTAGAGTACTTTTTACTTATTTAGTATTTATTGAATATTTTTAAGAAAATAGATTTATGGAAATCCAACAAGATATTAACAGTTATTGTGCTCAAGTAAAATTGCTAATTATTATTTCACAAGGCACTTTATAATTATTATGCAATAAAATATATTCGAATAATATTAATATATTATTTCAAATTGTAATACTTTAAGCATATCTAGTCATTAAAATAAATCGTACAATTTTTTCTTATAATTATGTAAATTTGCAGTTTATTTAAATTTAAAATTTCTTAAAAAATTATTTATAATTGTGAAGGATTTTTCTCCTACCATAGTTAAATTACTAAGTTTTATTTCAAAAGATTCAAAATTTTTCTTTCAATAAACAGATTAAAAAAAAACACTTATTTTAAGGAATCATGGAGACAAATTGATTATTTAATGAAACAAGTTCGAATTTAAGAGTAATCAGTAAATGAGTCTCAAAGATAATTTCAAGCCTTAATTTGAGTCTCAATCAGGTGTAATTTTCCAATCTTTAATTCTTTGTAATCTTCAGTTTTATTCTTCAAATTAAGACAGTATATTAATTTTCTTCATAATTCGAATAATTCATAATCGTGTAAATTGATGGATCAAACAGACAAAAATAATTTTTTTAAACAAATATTGAGAAAATTAAACTGATTATTTTTATAAAACAAGTTTTAATTTAAATGTAATTAGTTGAAGAGTCTCAAAGAAAATTTCAAGCATTAATTTGAGGCTCAATCTGATGTAAATTTCCGAATTTGAAAATAGTCTTTTAAGTTTAATCCTTCAAATTAAGATAACATCTTAACATGTTTTTTCATTTTTCGAATTTATAATCTTATAGTTTGATGGATCAATCAAACATAAATAAAAAAAACTCCATTTGACATATTTAAGAAATGTCAGGAAAATTAAACTGATTATTTATGTTACGAAACAAGTTATTTGAGAGTAATCAGTTAATGAGTCTCACAGACAATTTCAAGCCTTAATTTGAGGCTCAATCTGATGTAAATTTCCGAATTTGAAAATAGTCTTTTAAGTTTAATCCTTCAAATTAAGATAACATCTTACATGTTTTTCCATTTTTCAAATTTATAACCTTATAGTTTAATGGATCAATAATAAAAAATAAATCAAAAAAAGCTTAATTTGACATATTTAAGGAATGTTGGGAAAATTTAACTGGTTATTTATTTTATGAAACAAGTTCTAATTTGAGAGTCATCAGTTGATGAGTCTCACAGACAATTTCAAGCATTAATTTGAGGCTCAATCGGATGTAATTTTCCTCATATGAAAAAAAGTATTATCAATTTTATCTCACAAATTAAGATGGTATCTTAGCAATTTTTTTTAATTTTTCGATTAATTTATAATCCTGTAAATTGACGGATCGTTACAATAATGTCCAACACATCAGGATCTGATATTTTATATAATCAAATGAAAATTGTGCAAAATCTTACCAAAAAAAATGCTTTTTTGTTCATTGTACAAAATGGGTAAACTGTACGTAATTCAAATTGTACACGTTTAAGTTGCTTGTAATGCGTAGTCAGATGTAAATCTGAGCCTGCATTTGTGGTTCTTTAATTATATAGTACATAGAGATTTTTGTTCAATCAGAAAATATAAAGCATTTTTGAAATTTTCTAATTTTAGCACTCACCTCCTTTGACTGCTTCTGTAACAATTGAACCATCAGTAATGGGTCCATCACCCTTACGGGTTCCGTTCTCGAGTAAAGGCGTGCCTTCCTCTTGTATGGTGGCATATTCGACTCTATTGCTCCGATTAATTCGGATCGATCCATGCTTTAATTTGTCCGAAAGATCCGAAGATAAAGTTTGCCACGGTATGTAAGTTGGAAAATCAACGCTACTGGTGAAGCTTTCTTGAAAAAACATGCTTCCCATTTCACGCACAGCCAAAACAAGCAGCGCAAAACAGTTTCGAAAATTCCAGCTACATCCAGACGAAAATTCGGACAAGACTTCTTACGCTAAGTTCACAAAACTGAAAACACGAGGTCCCATGAACAATCACGTGGTGACGATTTTTGAACCTTGGGGTGAACTAGGCGGCGAAAGATTCGATCTAATCAGGCAATTAAGCGCATTATCTATGTCGTCCCCTTACTACACTAACTGATGGACTTTTTTTTCTTCTTCCCAATAGTGATTGGAGCATTCGTTTTTCATTTCTGTATGAATGCAAAGAGCAAATTGTTGCTGCTGCTGCGGCCTAAAAACCTTTTTTTCAGTTTTGAAGAAGTAGAAAAAGAAAACCTTGACAAACAGGCCTGCCGGCAGGGGAAGAAGTGAAAGTGAGCACCGAGTTGTATAAAATTATTTTTGAATCGAGTTGGATGAGGAAAAAAAATAAGAGAAAGAAAATGAGTGAAGCTTAAATTTCGTCTGGTCAAACTCTCTGAAAGGTCAACTAACGATGTTCTACTATTTCTTCCTCCACAACTCTCTATCTTTCAATGCAAATATACTTGGAAGGTTTGATTTTTAAACTACATTCGAAGGGTAGAGAAAAAAATTATATTTTATTTTATGCAGGCTTCCCTCTAAAAAGTTTGCACCACGGGGAGTTGGACATTTTTAGGAAAAACGGGTCTAACGACCCAGTGACCTCTCTTCTTTTTTGAGATTTTTCTTCTTCAAGATTAGTTTTTACCACCGAGTGCTATTTCGAGTTTGTTGTATCGTTTTAATTCTAATGCGATGTAGCTGATTCCAATTATTGCGTTATTGAACAATGCATCCATCCAATCAATCACTCTACCAAAGCTAATCCAAATTTACGCTCCCATTTGCTATTCGCGTTGAATTAGGATTTTCAGTGATTTTGAAAAACGAACCTGCAGCCCTCTCTGTCTCAGTCTAAACTGAGTTATCCAGCCTTTCTTTGTTCCGCAGTGGACTGATCGTAAAGACACGGTTCCCAGCAGATCACCGAAGTCAAGCATCACTGGCTGGGGTCAGTGTGCAGGTGGGTGACCACTTGGATCAGCCTGCGTAGGGACCGAGGGTGTGCGGTATGGGTCCTCTTAAACTGTTCTACCGTAAAGTGCTCGACTTCGCGTGCAGGTCGTCGGGCTACCGAAGCGGGGTTGCCATTCCCTCCGCAGAGGATCAAATTTGTGATGGCATGTCTTCGGATCATCCTCCGGGATGTTTCCCAGACCGTCGCCAATAGCCCATTGTGCAACTCTAGTGCGACGTAAATTAACAACAACAACCAGCCTTTTTTTATATTTATCATTGATTATAGTTTTATAATTAAAGAAAGCTTGCCTTGATTGCGCTGTGAACAATATTTAATTCACATAAATGATGAAATAAAAGCTTTTAATTCTATATAAGTCATTTATGCATAAATCTCCAGCTAGTATGATCGAAAATTCCCAAGACAATTTTCCCGGACATTCTAAGGCAATGAGGTAAAGGGTACGATTCTCGCTGTATGCATTGATGTATCTTTGAGATGTTCTTCGACTATTTTGCGGACCACTGGTTAGAGTTTTTTAAATTCACTGGAACGATATAGGTCGGTGGTTCCCAATTTTTTTCGGCTATGTAATCCTAAATGGTCGCCCTTCTGTTTACGGAATCTCGTATTCATCAATAAGTTTATTAGCAATTGAGAGCATAGAGCCGCGATGGCTCAGGGGATAGAGCGTTCGCCTTCTAATGAGGGGAACCAAGTTCGAATCAAATTCGTAATGGCTGGTCGATACGAATTCCGCATCGGGCTTGCACCGACCACAGCACTGACATAAAATATCCCCAGTGATAGACGGGATATAGGATAGAGTCCCCGTTTGTCGTGTGAACTGTGAGAGGTTTTCCTCTCCATGTAATGCAAATGAGGGTTAGTTAAATTAAAAAGTCTTCCACGAAGGCAAATAACTCCCAATACTTGATCCAGGAGTTCCCTTGTATTCTGGATTGGGTCCAAAATTACAAGGCTGCGGAGTTAAACATTAGTAGTCGTTAAAAAAAAGGGAAGAAGGAACAAAAAATTGGGTTGGCTGTTCAACGATGATTATAAAATGGTAAGCATAATAATTAAATTTACAATTAACTATCTTTGATTAGACAACCAATCATTTTGAAAATAGTTAATTTTTTAAAAATAAAAATAAAACTTTCTCATTGTTTTATTAATAGTAGCTTTAAAATAAATTTTTTCCTCAGATCATTTAACTAGCAGGGCGGCATCTAGTCTAGTACTGTATTGTTTTTAATGTACGCGTAAGTTGAAAATGAAGAGAACAAACTGTATTAAGGCATTCGTTAAGAAGAAAACGAAAAAATGTCACAAATGATGAGAGTGGATATCAGAAAAATCCTTTTCTCTAACGTTAAATTATTTATTTTATTTTGTAATTGGAAAATTCGATGAGATATATTAACGCAACATATTATCTATGCATATTCTTTTCATAATTTATTCGATGTATTGTTATTTGAAAAAATACATATGTATTGTTAAATTTTGCTATTTTGATGAAAATAGTATCTAAGAAATAATTTCTTAATAGTTTCTTTCATAAATGGTTTTTTAGAACTAAAATCTTAAATAAATAATGAATTATTAATAAGATATAATTACAGATTTCAAAAATCATCAATCGTTAGAAAAAGTCCTCATTCTCGGAACCCCTGTGACCCTTCAACGCGGAACGTCTTTTGGGAACAGCTGACATTGACAAAATTTTACCTAAATGGGCTCTCTGGTTCATTAAATATAATTTCAGATATTAAAAAAGGGATTATACTTTCAAATTTTTGCAAGGCCATTCTATAAATCTGTTAAAAAAAAACAAACTTGCTTAACTATTTCACATAGGATGCATAGGATAATATCATAAGCCTGGAAACTTTTTTAATGCCCTGACAATATAAGAGACTAAATAATGTAGAATAAATATTTATCAAGCAATATAGGAGATAAATGTTTCTTCGATTGGGAGATAATCCTTTATTGTTTCAAACAGGAATTTGTTAATTATACATCCAAATATATATAGTTTAAGAATTTGATAAAAATATTCTAGTGGCTAAGTTGCTTAACTTCTTTTCAACAAAGAAAATTCATTGTTTTAAAAGTGCTACACTAAGAGGAATCTTTTTGTCCTTTCGAACACAACCTCTTAAAATATTAAGATATTATTTTTGTAAATAATGAAAACGTGCATTTTTTCATTATTATTTTTTAAAACTTTTAACAAAAATGTATGTATAATAATATTTAATAATATTAATAAAAAAAATAATGAAGCAATATTAATAAAAAGAAAATGATGAAATAAAATAAAAATTTAAAAATTGCGTATTTTTTCTTCTTCAAGTAAACTAAAAAAAGAAAATAGTTATCAGTTTTTTTTTAAAAATTTCTTTTCTATGTTTTTGTCAGACCAAAAACGCTGTTTTCATCTTATTTTATTTCACTATTTTCAATTTTGTGTCGTTTAATTTGCTTACGTTTAAAAGTGTACGAAATTTCTATTCACGATAAATTTTGTATTCACCATGTAGGAAACAATTCGAATTTATTTTAGTATGAGGCACAAAGCTCCAGTTGAAATTTAGCATTATGCCAGTCGGAAAAAAACAGCAACTCGAAATTGGTTTGAAGATAAATTTCGTTAGCGTTAATAAGATGATAGATACTCCTAGTTGCTGTTTGGAAACAATTGAAATTAATATTGCGATCAAACACTGAGTTCCATTCGTAGAATTCAGAACTCAAGTTCATCGGAAACTGGTTAAAATTCTGATTACTTAAACAGCCACAAAAGCGACCTAATATTTCGGAAAAAGAAAGCATATTGTTAAATGAATGGCACAGACAATAATTTACACTCTATTCCAAAATTGTGAGACATATTATCTGATTAGATAGACATAGATGAAAATCACTCAGATCTAGTGTTATTTTTAGTTACAAATAATTAAGTCTTTTTTTTCTTCACAAATCAACCCTTTCAAGACCGTAATCAAATATACGTGATCACGGGATTCTTCCTTCACGACTCTCAGTATCATATATGAAACGAGCCTTTCGGACTCCAGCAGCTCAATATCATGCTATCGCGATCTCAATTTCGGTCTCTCAAGTCTCATATTAAATTTTTCAACTCTCGTATTTACTTACTTTTTAGTACGTATGCGGTCATAGGAAAGCGCTTCTTTCTTATTCTGCTATTGCTGAAGGGATTAAACACAACTGTCCTCAGGAGTGCAACAGCAAATAATTTCGGATAAGTTTATTTGATACAAAATTATCATATTTTAGTGAAATGCTCTTAAATTATGTATAGCGGCCTATACTAGTGCCGTTATATTGATTTAAAATTAGCTAAAAACATAGTATTTAAAACTGTGAAAAATTCAAAAGCTTTGTTTTAGAGCTGTATAGATGGTCTTAAAAAGAAACTAATTCTAGAAAAATTATTATGTATTTAAATTTTTTTTTTAAGAATATGAGTTATTAAATTATAAGTCAGTGGATAGTTTAAATGTATCAATCGCGGACTAATCAGACTAATCAGTCGCGATTATTATAAGAAAATATTTGAGTAAAAACTAATATAAAGGACAGTTGTTTTGGACATTTTTAAATTCTTTCTTACCTTCGATAGGTACAAATTCACATGACCGCAAAGAGAAATAGTCATACTTTGAGATTTCAAATGACCAATGATGATATGACATCTGTCAGCCGTGTTGATGATTATGTGACCGTTTATGATAGTTGAAATATTGGTCGAACATCGAATTATATCTTCCAATTTTTCTTTTTTTTAGTAAACACTATTTAAAGAGGAGAACCAATAATGTAACTAAATACGGTATTAAATTAATTTACAAAATTCACTATTATATTATTTAATCAATATTGAAATTGATTTCAATTTTTATAAAACTAAAGTGGTAAAATTTTAGTTACGAATAAAATAAGACTTATCTTTTCTGATTGCAATAGATTTATTTTTAATAATGAGATAACGATGACATAAATAGATACCAAGCATTTACCTAGTTTAATTTATTAAAATTAAAATGATGAGAACGGTACATATGGTTCTTACTGATAAAAGGTCTTCAACTTACTCTTACATAATTGATTTTCACTTCATATATTTTTTTTAATCTTAATTTTTATTTATCGCGTAATATTTATAAATTGATATTGTAAATTCAATCATGCGAAGCAAATATTGTTTGGAGGATGAGATTATCTCCACAGCTTTTGGTAATTTTGGGAAAAAATAACTTGTTAATAATAAAGAAAAATTATAATTTATACAATTTTCAATCAACTAGAAACGTAATGTAGAATTAAAAAAGCGAATAACACAGAAAAATTACCAAAGAGTAATTTTTTTTCTCGCATTTTTGAA